AGCAAGGCTGGGGCCATGCGGAGGTCTATGGACGACCTGTCCGCACCCCTTCACCACCGGAGCATCCCCAACGGCCTCAACGGTGAGCCTTTCCCCCCGAGTCTCACCCCCCCGGTGAAAACTGCCACCAGCCTTGCCCTGTGCCACCTCCCCTTGGCAGGTCCGGTCCTCCAGCAATGGGGTGAGGGATGCCAGGGGAGGGGGGTCCTTGCCATCCCCACCGCTGCCCATCCTTGGTGACTTCTTGGGAAGGGCAGCCCCGGGGTGTCCGGGGCGGTGGTGGTGCTGCTTCTCGCCACTGTTAGCGATGTCTGGGGCTGAGGGTTGGAGCCTTTTTTATCTGGGAGATATTGGTGTTCGGTTTGGTTTGTTGTGGTGGGTTTTTTGACAAAAACCAGCCCGAGTTTTAAGGGTTAAATAAACACTGTTTCCCCCATCTCTTTCTCTCTCCCTTTTCAAATATTTTGGTTTATGTTTGGCTTGTTTGCTAGTTTGATAAGGTTGATAAAGAGCTTGGATGAGGTTTTGGGAGCACCTGATGGAAGTGCAGGTCTGCCCCGCAGAGCACCACCTGTTAGCTCCATGGGCTCCCAGGACAGCCTGTCTCTGGCACGCTCAGCAGTTTTGGAGACATGCAACCCGGCTTTCCCCCATTCCCCCACTTCGCTTCAGAAACGGGGATTGTCTATAGAGAAGAGTTTCCTCTTGAAGGGACGCTGTGCTCCCAATTTTGCTCAGCCTCATCATTAAAGTTAGAAACAAGCTCCACTGTGAAATCGTGCCAAGCCTCCTCTGACAGTTTGTATTGAAGTAAAGTTTCTCTTGTCTAATGGTGATCAGGCATTGCAATAATCGTACTGGAATGTCTTTAAAATGGAGATTTTTTTCTCTTTTGAAACAAACAAGACTGAAATACTTGACTTCTAGAAGGAGCAGTTTGGCCAAGAGGGTTCGATAGGAATCAAATCAGGCACCAATCTAATTAATTGCAGTATATATATGGCTCCTTTTAATGTTCTTAATTCTCTCTTTCAACCAGAGAGGAATATTTTCTGGTTGGGGGACTATTTC